GCAACATTGATGTTGCCCACCGCCTATCGTCGACGCCAACATCACTAAACTTCATAATTGTCTTATTGTCTCATATTATATCTTCAAATTTCTTGTTTTCCCTTCAATTTATGAATAATGAAGAAGAAAGAAGAAATAGATTTTAAGAAGAAAGAAATGTAAGGTGAGAGGAGGAAGAAAGCCTAAATTTCTACTTTTTGCAAAAGTCTAAGAAAATATTAAGCAAAAATGATTTAAAAAAATTAAAATAATCTTATTTACGTGTCAAAACGCGTGTATAACACATTTTTCACACAAAACTGATATTATCTTCGGAAGGGGGTATTAATTTCACTTTAAACAAGGTTGAGTGTGTAATAGGTCGTCATGATACTTTAAGCGTGGAACTGACTTTTCGGAACAAGTTGATGGGGGAGTTTATGTCTTTTCCCTATTTATGTATTATAAATAATTAAAGATCTTTAAATATTAAATTTTTTGAATCACCAATTGTATATCATTATATTATATTCCCTCTATTTCATGTTACTTGACCTTCATATTAAGGACCCGTTTGGCCATAGATTTTTCAACTAAATTTGGGGAAGAATTTGGCAATACAATTTGTCATTATTTGACAAATAACCCAGTTCCCAAATACTAGAAAAAATTAGTATCTGGGTCAAATTTCATTATTTGAGAGCTTTTAAAAATTAAAGTTCTACATCAAACTCTTATCTTTTACGAAAATATCTTCTATATTAATTGTTTGCGTTGTATTACATAATTTTTTACGTAAACACCAAAACAGTGATGGAATATTGAGTGAATATGAAAGTGATGATATGGTTGTTGATGAAAATGACAAATAATCGGCTCAGATTAATAAAGTCATGTGTTTCGTCTACTTCACGATATATAAAATGATGCTTGTTGCACTCACTCCGAACTACCACATTGCTCCAGTGTCAAGAACATTACATGTAATTTGTTGCAACGAATATCCAATTGACTTGTTGCGGAGGTTATGAATCTTGTTATGTCAACGTTTCTATCTTGCTATGTAATACAAACCTATGGTTAGTTTTGACAGTTTTTAAAACTTATGGATATAAATTATATTTCTTAAAAAAGTGAAATATATTTTCCAAATATTATCACCAAACACATGGTGAAATTTCACCCAATTTTTCATCCAAATAATATTTGCCAAAAAATATTTGGGAATCTATGGTTAAACGCTAGCTAAAAATAGTTGTTTCAATTTATGAAGGTAAGAGAATCTTACTATAGTATATATTTTTTCTACACTAGTACTCCAAAGATATTTGTGAATATTAAATAACTACATAAAGTAAGATAATAATCAAATTTAAAATTCCAAAATATCATTAATAAGGTCAGTTTAGTAAAATAAACCTCTAATTAAAGTTTTTCTTAAAAGTATGTCAGGTCAACAAGGATCATAAGTGTCAAAATAATGAGTCAAAATACATTAATTCTGGATAAAGCTTGGGACATCCACCATTTTTATGTAGGAATGAAGGTGCTCTTAGCTCGACATCATTGGTTCTGTTTCCCTAGAACCCCTCGTTTTGGTTGGAAAGGGGCATCTAAGGAGAAGCGTAAATATTTACTTGTCATTTACACACAAATAAAGTAATAATCCTAATAACGTACTATATTTGAAGTAAGAATACATATCATTTAATCAGGTTAACAGATGAATATTATATCTAACATTTAATGATTTTATATAAACACTCGATAAGATCAATTTTTATCAAAGAAAAAACAATCAATTAACATAAGTACTCCGATCCCATGGACTAGCTATTAGAATGATGAACTAACATCAAAACTCTCCTTAGCCACAAAAGACCATGTTAACATATATATTTGTATTACAAAACAAAACCACAATTCAGTTGCAGATTTAAATTAATCGAGCTCAAAACAGATAAAAAACACTAGTAAGTAGGAGTGAACGCACATAGGCCAAGTTGATTATGCCTTTTCAGTCACCAAAACAATTAATAGATCCAAATAGGTAATTCAAACGTTATAATTGCATACGTTTTGTTATTAAATTGTGTTTTTGTTGAAGTAATTCTTAGCATCTTTAATACTATAAAGGGCCGTTTTATAGAGTATATAAATAAAAATAATGTATGCAATAGATCTATATTTTAGTAATATCTTGTTTGGTACACCTTTTATATTATGTATTAGTAATGCAGGAAGATATAATGCATGCATTACCTCAAAACTCTTATACATCTTTTTTATAGTAATTGTGGAGAATATTTTGTAAATAAATATTTTTATACAATGCATGCTATTTTTGTTACACCAAATCAAACAATAAATAAGAAATAATCTATGTATAATTAATGCAAACATTATTAATATTCCCTCAGTTTCTATTTATATGTCATCATTCTAGATTTCATGTCCCTTAAGAAATCAGGTAAGTTTAATATTGTACTCTTATTTAATGTTCTCTTAAAGTCAAGTTTTAAATAAATGAACATAAATTAATTTATTTTGATTAATAAAATTGAACAATAAACATGAATTAGAGCCGTTTGGATTGACTTAAAAACAATAACTTTTAAGTCAAAAGTAAAAAGTCAAACTTAGATGACTTTTAAGTCAAAAAATAAAAAAATAAAACTTAAATGACTTTTAAGTCAAAAAATAAAAAGGAGGAGGAGACCTATTTTTGGTTTTAAATTTACTTTAACTCATTTTAAACTTATTTTAAGTTATTTTTAACTTTGCAAACACTTCCTAATTTTGTTTTCAGTTATTTTTGACTTATTTTAAGTTATTTTTACATCCATAAAATACTTTCAGAAGTCAAAACCTGACTTAAAAGTAGGTTTGACCAATGTTTAAATCAATCCAAACACCCTCTTAATCATTTAAGTTTTCTATGTTGGTGACAATGACATTTTAAAGAATAATAACTCTCAATGATAAAATAGGAAGAATAATGTTATTTATGTATTGATTTTGTGAAATAACAAATATTAATGACCATCTATTTTAAGTAAAACCACATATAAATATAAATTGAGGAAGTACACTTTATTTAGTATTATTTTTATACACTCTATCAAATGACCCTAAGAAAGTGATTTGAGCAACCCCACCCCCTAAGTAGCATTCACTCACTTTTAAGTTTCCTTCATGAATAAGAAATAAATTGACACAACTTCTACATGAAGAAAAGTTTTTTTCTTTTTTCTTTTGGTGTAAGTAATTTAATTTGTAACTTAAAACTTTTTAATTGCTCTTTAATATTGTAACCACTATTGAGCAATTAACATGATGACTTTTCTCATTCCTACTTATCTTTTGAGAGTGAAACCGAAACTTGGAAGAGAAGTATTTGTTGAAAATATGCAAATTATTATTTTTTAAATAAAAGAAACGTGCTTATTAATTTTTCTATTTATTTTTTATTTTTGGAAGGAGAGGTCATAAATTAAAGAAAAAAAAGTAAAGGGAAAAAGACAACAGAACGCGTTGTGAACATTAACACTAAATTGGTGAAAAGATAAAAAAAAAAAAGGTTAGAAATTGGTTACTTTTTAATTATATTTTTGAAAAATAATTACGTAATGAGTTTTCATTTGATTGATTTGAAATTTTATGACACTGGTTATATATGAAATAAAGGAACTAAAAAGTGATTATTTGTGAATTTTATTCGATAAAACTTGTACTCCTTGTCGGTGGGAGAAAATGCATATTACTTTAATTTCTCCTTTCCATTTTTTTTAAATTCTGATGGTGGTTTTGAAAAAAGAGAAAATACATTATTTCTGTTTTGGTCTTCTTTTTTTTTTTTTTTTTTTTAAAAAAAACTTTAATCTTTCTCTTCATTCATATTTCTTTTTAGCCAGAAGTGGCGTGTGTTTGAGTCGTTTTCTATTTTGATAGTGACACAAAACTTTATACTTTATAGTAATAGTTTTTCTAACAAATTATTAGGTTAATAATATTGTCTTTTTAAAAAAATAAAATTTTTGTCACTTTGAAAAAGGAAAAAGAGAACCCTCGAATCCGACAAGAAGTCACACATGGATTCCAACAAATGAAATTAGACACCAATAATTCACATAGTGAGTATAGGTGAAAAAAAAAGTTTTTTGTGTGATTGATTACAAGGGTACAATGTACTTGATCGATAAAACTTCTTATGCATTTGTCATGGGTTTAAGTCTTAAAAATAAAAAAGAGCTTAGTTTTATGATAGAAAATATTTCTCCACTAAATGAGTTGCAATAGTTTTAGTAAAAAAGCACTTTATGAAATTGAATTAGTAAATTTCAAATATTAAATAGTCGTAGTTGATAAAATGAAGATGAGATTTGACATAACTAATTAAGATGTTATTATATAATTAAAGATATCATAAATTCAAATTGAGATTTTTTTTTTTTTTTTATAGAAATACAATTTAAAATTACATATAATAGTCCTTTGTGGCTTGTCCCTTCTCTAAACCTCACGCACAACGTGAGTTTAATACACTATACACCTAGCTTTCCTTACCCGTACATAAATGTCAGTGTTATGCATATCGAAGGTTAAACCTATTCAATTTTATATTATACTTTATGAGATGATTAAAATTCCTTCATACTTAATGAGTTTTGGAAATAGAAAAAAAATTAAGTTAACTAATAAGAATCATGATGAAATAGTAAGTACTGCTTTATTTTTAACTATAGATATTTGGGTTCAAGTTTATTGGGATTAGTAATTGTCTTTGTTAGGAACATTCTTCTTCCAATGTAGCATTTTCTAGTGTGAATTTAAATTTAATCGCAATCCAATACAACGGAAAAGAAAAAATTAAGTTGGGCACAATCATTCTGTAGTCTTTTCTCAGCACTTCTCAGATCTCTCTTACAAAAACACCAACGGTAATATTTTCAGTATATAAATCCTCACTCTGTTTCTATACATTAACTTCCAATTCTTCTTTCATATATATAACCGTTTCTTATACAATTCCAGTAACTGAAGGAAACAAAAAATGTCTCTCAAATTCTCATTTTCTCTCCTTCTACTTTCCCTAATCTCCACCCTCTCTACCGCCCAATTCGGCGGTACTGGCTCTGCTCCCGGCGGCACTGGCACGACTCCCGGCGGCACTGGCACTACTCCGGGCGGCGCTGTCACTTCACCGGGCGGCGCTGTCACTTCTCCGAGCGGCGTTGGCTCTGCTCCTGGTGGAACTAGTGCTGCTCCAGCCGGCGGTACTGCTACCGGCGGAGGCGGAGGGGCGACGGTTGAGTTGTGGTGCGTGGCGAAGAACAACGCAGAGGATACTGCTCTTCAATCGGCACTTGATTGGGCTTGTGGGCCTGGAGGTGCTAATTGTGGGCCAATTCAGCCCGGTGGATCCTGTTATGACCCTAAAGATATACAGAAAACGGCGTCGTATGTGTTCAATGATTACTTTATTAAGCATGGTATGACTGAAGATGCTTGTAATTTTGATGACACTGCTGCTCTCATTTCTATAAATCCAAGTAAGTACTTCCACTTTTGCAACTTTTTATTTGCTTATTATAGTAGTAATTTGGTAACTTGAATTGTGATTTATATTGTTATTTATCTTTTTTCAGGCCATAATGGGTGTAAATTTCCATCCAGGTAACTGTTATCCCTTGTGCTAAAAGATCTGATTTTTTTTTTGCCTTAAATGATTCATGACAATAATAGATAATTTGGTAGTGAAATTGATCATTGAGCAAAAAAAAAAAAACTAAGTAGGAAATGAACTGTCTGATTTAGTATGTGCAGGGTTATGTGCTAATAGAAATTGCTAATATTCCCTCCGTTTCAATTGTTTGTCTTGTTTTGGCTATACAAAATTTATGAAAGTAAAAGACTTTCTAATTTTTGTGGTCTTAAAAGAGGGATTAAAGATATGCAGAATGTACCAAAATACTCATTAACATTGTGGTCGTAAATATGCCACATCAGGTCTCAACTCCCAGGTCTTGGGTCAAAAGTCGGGGTTGGATCTCGGGTCTTAGGTAGACCTCGATTGGGTTGGGGTTGGATCCTGGGTCTCGAGTCAGGGTCGTGGTTGGGTCCCAATTAGGTTCGGGGTCTTGAGTATTGAGTCCCGAATCAGGGTCTCTGATCCAAGATCAAGTTTCAGGTTAGAGTTGGGGTCTCGAGCATTGGGTCACTAATCAGGGTTGGAATCGGGTCCCTGGGTCAGGGTCGAATCTCTTGTCTGAGATTGGGGTTGAGGTTGGTCTCGGGTCCAGGATTGGAATCATGATCAAAGTCATGGTTGAGTCTCGGATGAGGTTCGGTATCAAAAGTATTGGGGTCAGGGATAGGAACCTGATATGGGGTTTTGCATCGGGTTTCTAGTCTGTCCCAGGTCTTAGCTAGGTTGAGTCTCGATCGGGGTCCAATATTGGGTCTTGTTTCAGGCCTCAATTGAGGTCGGGTCTTGGGTCCAGAGTCTGGGTCTCAGGTAAGAGTCGATGTCGAGGTAAGATCCCAGGTCAGGGTGGTTGGGTAGGGTTGGGTTCGGGTCGAGGTTAGGTCCAGGTCCCTCGTTGATTTCAGGTCTTAGTTCTTTGGTCCTAGGTTGGCGTTAGATCTCGTGTCTTGAGTTGCGTCTCGTGTCAAGGTTGGGGTCAATTCTTGATTTCGAAGACTTTCGGGTCGGGGTCGGGTCTCTTCACCCGGAACCTAGGTCTCAAGTCCCGATTTGGGTTCAAAGTCTCTTATTTTTTGGATTTTCTTTTAGTGGATTTGGTCTCTTTTCATTTTTTAGTATGCCAATATTGTTTAGATTAAGTGGGTCATAACCCAACTTGGTTTTTAGCCTAGTTTCGCTCAATCCAGTTTAACCCAAAGTAAATTTGGGCGGGGGGACATAACCCAATCCGCTTTTTAGTACAATCCATTTTAACCTATTCAATTTTAGTTTAACCTGCCCATTTTACACCCTACCTCATTCCGTAGCTTAGTTAGTAGTTAGGTTTGCTATGTGAATTCAATATCAAATTTTTTATTTTATTTCAGATGTTTATAATAATAGTGTTATGATCAAAGGTTGCACTTAAGATATGAAACAAGTTGAGCCGTGTCAATGAGCGTACATCTGAAGAGTCGACACTAATCAATTGATATTTCACTTTATTTGTAGCATTTCAATTTTCTTAATACATATATTGCATTTCAATTTTCTTATACATATATTTGTTATTCATACTTGTAAATATTTGTCTTGGCTAAACATGCTCATCAAAGCTCCAACTGACGTTGCAGCTTTTTTTGTGCATAAATCTATGTATTATTAAATCTAATGAGTTAAACTTGAGCGGCAGTAGAGTTTTTGTGTGGTAACTAATCACTTCTAAAATGGAAAATGGTATAGAATAAGAAATTATCAAAACAGAAACAGAAAGTGCTTTTGAATATGTTCAAGGATGCTCTGCTAGGGCCTAAGAAATTAGAAATTATGTTATGACAGAGAGTAACATGAGCGCCTTGTTTCGTTGGTTTTGTTTTATGAATCTTGTTGAATAGCATAACACACTACGTTACAAGATTGCCTCTATTGATTACTTTTAATGGAAAATGGAATATAATAAGAAATAATCAAGTCAGAAATGATTTTGAGTTTCATGTTCAAGGATTTCCTCTGAAGTTAGTGAAAAGAGAAAGAAAAGATTTGCAATATGGTTTAAGATCTGCAATATTCTATATAGGCCTTCTAAATTCGAAATTATGTTAGACATAGTAATTGATTCGACTTGTTTTATTGTTAATTTTGCTAGATAGAATCTGAAAGAATGTATTATCTTCTTCAATCCAGTTGAATAACATAAGACACTACACATACATCGTGAGTTTTATTCATATGATCTTTGGGGCATCCACACTTTTAATATGCCGAAGCCCCATTGGATTATTTGGTCTCGCACTTCTTTGGGTTTGAGTTAAACCCGAGGTCCATGTTCCTTATCAAAATTATCCATGTTATCTGTAGTTACTTCAGTCCATTATAGACTTCAGCTTTTGAGATAGTAATTTGTGCATCATTGTGCAGCAAGAATTCAAGTGGAAGTTCTAGTGGGTCGACGAATGGGGGATTAAGTCCATCCTCGGAAGATTTGAGTAGCGGCAGTTCTATTCTCAGGAGGTGGATGTATATCTTGATGGCGATCAATTTGCTGTTTGCAAGTCAGCTTATTTTCTGATGACTCAAGAATCTTAGTCTCGTTCCCACTGTATGTAGTATGTAGTATGTAGCGTAAGGCAATTTTGTTGAGAGCTCAAAAGCTCCAGGTATTTAATGTTGGTTCCACGCCCTCTCCAACATCGTAGAAGCCATAATCGAAGAAATATCATGACGATAATTCTTCTTGTTTGTTTATCAATCATGTTGGTATGTAATCTAACTTTAGAAATGCAACTGAAGTACTGAACTATCATTGTAAATCGAGCGTGCTGATTGAATTACTAGCTATTGTGGTTCTTCTTGGATTCATGGTGACTTGTTATTCCAATTGGATTGATGTATTAAGGTTGTGTGTTATGCAATGCAATCTCAGGTGCAGAGTTAGAGAGTCTGAAGGGGTTCATTCGAACTACTTTTGACCTAAAATTACATTATATATACAGAATCGAAAAATCTGTTGTTGCTAGTGGAACTCAATTTTTTTTTTTTTTTTTAAAGCTCTCTTAGATCTCTTATTTTCTTTGGGTTTCACAAAATTTGGCATTCAAAGAAAAGAAGCCTATGACCCTTCGGGTGGCCCCTAGTGGTTTGGGCTTGGGACTTCTATGTTGGAGGTCTCAAGTTCGAAACCCTGAAAGCAAGGGAAAGCCTTCTGGATCGAGTTCGTCATACTGGGCTTGTGGGTTACCTCTCCTGTGTGGTTTGCGAGTTATTGTATAAAAGTGGGGTTTTGTCTTGCGCACATACAAAAGGTTTCCCTTGTTGTAAAAAAAAAAAAAGGAAAGAAGAACATTCTCTATTTGTTTCAAATAAGGGTTGTTTTAGCTTATTTCCATTTATATTTTTAAAAAAAAATATAATATATAGTTTACTAAATTACTCCTATTTATTAGATATTTTTGAGAATTAAGCATTATTAAAAAGAAGTAATTCTTTAGTTTAAGGAAATAATTAAAAGCAATTACTATATTTTGTCTTGAATGTTTAAAGCAAATACTTATTTTTTGCTAAAACGACACTTATTTAAGAAAGTAAGTAAATAAATAAACAAAATAAAAGTCACCAACCGGAGCCTTCAAGGCTTTACTCGAAAATTGGATGGAAAAAAATTGGACGGAGATAAAAGACACTAATAATATGATTCTGATTCTGTGTTGATATTTACACTGAAATTTAAATAAATTAAAATTCGCGTCAAGAAATTCCACGTAAAAAAGATAAAACATCTTTAAAAAAGACAATTCGGTATATAAAGGAAGCTTAGCAAATGTGAAATCAAATGACTAGACATTATATTCTCTTTTCCTAAATGTCTGGCTTTGGAAAATAAAATGAACTGGCCAAGTTTGAACAAACTTAATTTATGGAATAAAATTTATAGTTGTAAAAGTCAATGGTTGATAAAATACGCAAAACATGTGCGACCAGTTCATATGTTAGATAATTAATTAAAATAAAAAAATGGAACAGCCTTACCTAATTCTTGGATTCTTTTTAATTAGTCAATGTGACTAATTATTGACTAATTATCACGTTCATATTTAGGTTACCAAATATCACAAACATTTTTTGGACTTTAGTATATATCATATAGACATCTTAATTAATCCAATATAGACCCTCTACTAATTAACTTCCTTTTGACCTAGTATTTAACTTATATCTATTGCCGGTATATTGGACTTTTACACTTAGTATATCACTTGTTACTAATTTTCGCAATGAATTCACGGTGAAAGTTTAGAAGTTTGAAATGCTAATTAAGTATATCATATAAATTGAGACAAAGAAAGTAACAAATTAAAATACGAGTTCGTAAAACACAATGGTAAAACACTTTGGCTGGAGTATTATCTACTTAATTTTGATTTTGAAAATTTCACAACAAATTCATTAAATATTCATAAAGAGATCGAAATTTCGAATATCTCATAAACTCTTGAAATATTCATAAGGTAAAAGAAAATTTGGCCAGAATGGTATTTTACCTTTTTGAACATTTTTACCCTTTTAACTTTAATACATTTTAACTAAAAAAATGGAAAAAAGATTAGTATATTTTAAAATAAAAAAGATATTATATACTTCTGAATTTTCTGGCCATTTAACATTACCCTATTCATAAAAAGATTAACCTAAATCATCATAGTTTGAGGAATACGTCACTTAACCGCCTAAAATTATGGAGATCAAGTCCAAATTATCCTAGCTCGAGAAATATGTCACTAACGACCCTCGAATCACAGAGAAACCTTATGAGAGACGAAACAAGAAAAAAAAAACAGATTTGTACCCATATTGATTTATCAATAAAATATTCTTATTTCTTCATTAAAAAAAATCTACTTAATTTTGACATAATTTGTGTGTGTACGTACAAGAAAGATATGGGAGAAAAATAAGAAATGAAAACACAATAGAGTTTCGAATTTGAACTAATAAACATCGTATAATTCATACCTAACTATTAATCATTGTCTTTCAAGATCATTAATTACATCCTCTTCAACACCACAAAATTGAACATGTAATCTTCTTGATGATTTTTCCATGCTAATCATCTTCCTAAACGAGCTTAATCTCGAACTTGATCCATTGATTTTAGCTGATGATGATGTTGAATCTTGTGCTAATCCACAATCTTCCACATTTGTCGAATCGCCACCCTGGATTGGTGGCGCTGAGGGCGTGGTAGGTCCTACCACGCCCTCACGTGGCTCCGGTTGTAACAACCGGGGCTCCGCCTCAGTCCGACAAATCGGGCACGTTGAATGTGACCCGAACCACTTGTCAATACACTCAGCATGAAAAACATGTTTGCAATTAGGCAAATTCCTAACCGTTTCTCCGTCTTCAAGAGCGCTCAAACAAACCGTGCACTCAATTGAATTATTTTGATTAATATCATTTTGTTTGAGAATAAATACCGGTAGCGAAGCTATGATGGACGGGTCTAGCCCCGTCTTTGGGGGCTCGACCTGTAGGGCTGAGCTGGTGATGATGCTGATGCGTTGAAGCTCCGCCCTATGTCTAGCCTGACGTCTGAGGACGTACCTCGCGTAAACATGGAGGAGAGTAACGAAGAAAATAACTATAGATAATGAAATTATGGCTGTTATCATGATCTTGCTATTAAGATCATATTTGTTTTTTCTATGAAAAAATGGAGGATCATCATCATCAAAACCCATGGTTGTTGTTGTGATGTGGTGGATTTTGTGAGAGTAAGGATGTTTATTTATTGGGTATTATAAGAGGTATTTAAAGGTAAGGTTGTCTTGGTTTGGTATAACTATGTGAAAATGAAAGAAAACAACTCATATACTAACTATCTTTTTTTTTTGTTTTTCTTCGTTTCCACTTGATGAGAGACTCGAATTATAGTTCTAAGTATGGAAAACTCTTGATATAGAAATTTTTTCACGAATAAATCCTATACAGCGTGAATCCAAATTAACTGAACTCTAATGTGGATATTGGACACGAGACATAGAATGAGAAACCAATAAGATGTAGAAGTACGTATTTTCAAAGTGATTGACTTGTTGAATATTGACCTTTATTTTCCATAATTTTGAATGTCCTCCGCTATTACAATTCTTTATACAAAAAAAAAAAATATGTGTAAATTGTAATGATGTACTTATTTATGATAGTACAAAACCTTTTTTTTTTTTAACCTCGGATAACCTGCAGCCGCTATAATTTCTGTCACAGTCTCTGCCCTTCGGGTGAGCACTTTGTGCGTACTGGGTAAACCCCTCACTACTCACCCAAAGGGCAGAGGCTGTGGCAGAGATTGTAGCGGCTGCGGGTTATCCGGGGTTCCAAAAAAAAAGAAAAGGTTTTTTACTATCATAAATGTGTACTGGGTAAAACCCCCACTGTGTAATAGCCTGCAAACCACACAGGGGATGTAAACCGCACTAGGCAAGCCCTATGCGACAGGCTTGACTCAGAAGGCATTGAGGGGGGATCAATCCCGGGTCATCCGTGTGGATAACCACCCTCCAAACCAACTGAGCCATCTCGAATGACCACAAAACCTATTCTATTCAAATTAAAAAAATGATTTCTTACTTCAACTTTGGATTTATTTTCCAAAAGACGATATAAAGTGATTATATACAATAACATTATAATTTAACAAATTACGTCAAGTTAAGGTTAAATATAATTGACTTGAAGATGCCCTCTCTCTCTCTGTATATATATATATAGAGCCGGAGCTAAGTGGGGGTTTATGGGTTCGGACGAACCCACTAGTTTTTTCATAGATCTTATATTTGTATTAAAAAATTAAATAAATATATATATATTAACTTGTGAACCTCCAAACTCCTAACTTCTGCTCTGCCAAACAATATATATATATATATATATATATATATATATATATATATATATATTACATGGTTAGCGTGCAGAAAATAAACTCAGTTTGATTTGACTTTTTTTCTTTTTGTAAAGTTATTTCATCTTAAATCCCGAGAATTAATAGCTAAGAGTTTAGAGGCATAGGCCATAGAGTGATGTAATGGCAATTTGCATTTAATATGTTGAAATAGACATGTAAGACCTTTCCTAATTTTGTCTAATGAGAATATATATATATATATATATATAAAAAAAAAACAATTCTATCTTAGGTGCCCATTAATGTTCCCTAGTAGTATCCATAAATCCCACAAATACGTTTTTGGGATGTGCGAATTCATATTAGTTGAAACATGTAAATTCGTATGAGTTGAGCTTTAATGTGAATTTCAAACATTAAGTAGGAAATAAAAATGCTAAATGTATATATTATTGTGGTTTATAAAGTATAACTCAAGTCGGTCGACTATTTGAACTATAATCTTATTGGTAAAAATTCAATTTTACACATTGTAATTTCCTTCGATCCTCGCACCGACCCTCCTATGGAAAAGTTAAATGCTTAAACGATACCGTTTATTTTATTTTATTATTAGAGAAAAGTCTAGTTGGTTGACTAAGCCAAATATTTGCCATTAACTACTTTTTGTTGATTTAAATTGTTGCGTACGTAAAGTAAATTTAGCGATGAGAAATTTTTACGAGCTGAAAAGGATAGGGAATATAGGAAGGAGAAAATTAAATGTAAATAGTGGTCCCACTAAAGAAATAATTTTATAGCCTATTTGACCAAATTTTTAAAAGGTAAAAAATATTTATCTTTTTCAGATGATGTTTAATTTGAAAAGTAA